AAATTTTAAATATAATTTTTATTTCAAACATATTATATATATATATATATATATATAATTCATTAAAAAATTATTATATATAAAAAAAATGTCTATGAGTTACATGCAAAATACTGGTTCTTTTAAAACTCATAAAACCTTTTTACAAGTACTAATTATTTAATTTTTTTTTTTCAATTTTTAAGTTCCAAGTTAAAAATTCAAAATCATATAAAACTTTTATTGTAATTTCTTTTTTCAGTTTTATTAAATCTTGAATTTTAATTATTTTAATTTTCTTTTATTTTCCCCTCATTTAAGTTTCACTTTCCTCCTCACTAGGCTCTAAAAACTTCATAAACCAAAATCATCCCTAAAGCTCCAGCACTCGCAACATTCGAGCTCCCTCTCTCACGCACTACATTATGCATCTTCGAGAAAACAAGGCATAACAATAATCAACTCGTGTGCTTGAACCTGTGTGAGGAGCTCCCTCTCTAAATCTCTTTGATATGTTTTTCACTAAAATTGTCTTTATTTGTTAGGGTTTCCTTTTGGGTTTTTGTTTGTGCTTGAACCCATATGAGGAGCGCGAGACCAACAAGGTGCATCAAAAATCACGTTCTTTCTTGTGCGCATTTTGGTAGTACCAGTGATTTGATGTTCTCTACCACATTGTATTATCTTTCTACAAATTCCTCTTGCTCTATTAGTGGGAAGCCAATTAGTTTCGGTGGCTTGGGACACTAGTGGAAAAAAAGACTTTTAAGATCGGTTATTTTTTACTTTTAAGATCGGTTAAAAAATTGATCTTAAAAGAGATGATCTTAAAAGCTGAACTTTTAAGATCCGTTATTTAACCGATCTTAAAAGTCCAGCTTTTAAGATCGGTTACGAAATAAGCGATCTTAAAAGTATCAGGTTTAATTTTTGTTTAATTTTAATAAATTTATTAATGTAACAACCCTCATATTTGGCCTCTCAAGGATGCTATTTTACGACACTTCACTTCTCAACGTGTTTTGTCCTTACTGCACATTTTCTGGGAAACTTCCTAGAAGGTCACCCATCCCTATATTACTCAAAGTCAAGCATGCTTAACTGTGGAGTTTTGATGAGATAAGCTACCGAAAAACAGATGCATGTTGTCAGTATAAGTAGTACAAATTAATTCATTTAAGTCATTCTCAACTATATAATCTCATACTTATACTATTTTTGGATCCCTCTCATTTTGGTGTGTCCAGACCACTATAAAAATATAATAATTATATTACCAATAATCATAATTATATTATATTTAATTAAACTATTTGATGGGATCCTAGCTTGCTTGAACTTGAGATGATGAGCAAGGGAGAGGACGACTTCTCCAAGGATCAAGTTTTTCAAAGGTGGCACAAGGTTTTAGGGTGGATGATGATGGAATGGACGAAAATGGAGGTTGGGTAGAAGGTGTTTGATGAAAGGCTTGAAAGGTGCACTCTAGGGTTGGCTCACTTCATTGATGATGAAGGTCACTTCTAGGGTTGTTTCTCTCAAGGTGGAGATGGGAGGGAGGTGGCCGAATTAGCCAAGGGTGACTAAGGAAAGATATAAAGGCACAAAAGGCTCTCTTTATATTCAATATCCAAAGTATTTACAAGGTGTGGTGCCTAGGGTATTTATAGGAGTGGGAGGCATCTAGGGTTGCATTTAGGGTGCCAAATGCACACCAAATGAAACCCAAATTAACCCTAGATGCAACTTGGTGGCCAAGGATGGAATCTTTGGGATTAGTTAGGCTACATCTAGGTGCATGATAAGACCATGCAACCTTTGCCCTCCACTTGGGCCTAAGTCTTTCTAAAACCAAAAATAGGTCCAATAGCCACAAAAAAATACGTCTAGGTTTTTGTTCTCACCCTAATCAAATACCTTAGCCCAAAATTAAAAACCTATGATCTAAAGCACCCCATAATACAAGGGTAAAATGGAAAATACAAAAGAAAATAAATCCTATGACTAAAATACCCCAAAATAGAAAGGTAAAAATGGAAAATCAAAGACAAGGGTAAAATAGAAATAAAAATAAATGTTATGCTAATAAAAACCTAGGAGCTAAGGTCCAAAGGCTACTCCTCCTATGGTTTTTCAACACTAACCCATTCCTTTTGTTTCCTTCAATACATCACCTCTTGGACTTCTTGGCCTTAGTGTTATTCCATCACTATTAGATTGAAAGTTCATATCACTTTATATGTTTATATCAAATTTTGTTAAAATTGAACAACAACTTGAAGGTAATCAAAGTGTTCATATTTTAGTATATTTTGAAATGTATATATTACGTCAATTTTGTTT